GGTATTGGAGTCCTCACACCAGACTGGGGGAAGGAGGGTCTGGCTGGGCTGGGCTGCTCTGGCAGGCCCAGAGGCGGGTGTGCTCTGGGGTACCTGGGCCAGGCTAGTTGTGGCCAGGCTGGGGGAGGAGCTGTTTGTTGTTGCTAGGCCAGGGCAAACACGGCTCCGAGGCCTTTCCCGCCACCTGCCGCATCTCCCAGCCCAGCCTGCGGTGGCCGGACAGCTGGGCAGTCAGGATGGGGCTCTGAGAGCTGCTGGGCTCTTTGTCTCAGAGACTGGGGGGAATGTCCATCCGTGAAACCACAGCGTTGAAGGCAGCCACCTGGGATGGAGGGTGGGGGAGCTGTATCTCAGGTCCTTCATCCCAGCCTCTGCCTCCACTCCCTGGTCTTCCAGAAACTGAGACACAGGCCCAAGAGAATGCCAGATACAGTGGGGCAGAACTTAGGGTCCCAGCATCCCTCAGGCCCTCCCTCCACAGTCCCGGCAGGCAGCTCTCTGCTCTTGGCTCGCACCTGCTCAGTCTCTAGTTAGGCAGCCCCTCTTACCGTGCCTCTACCTCTGCAGGCCCACCGTTCACACAGTGCTCCAAGACCCTCGCTCACTGCCGTGCCCCATCTACCCCTCCAGCTCCATTCTCCCTGAGCCCAGCGTTTCTATCCACTGCCTATCTGACACCCCGCAGACCCCTGCCTCACACTCAGCTGGCCCTGACGTCCCCTCTCCACCTCCTCCACTGCCCAACTGGCCACATGCATGTTTCTTCTGTTCCCAGAACATAATGACCTTTACACCCCTGTGCGTCTGCTCTCGAGGTTCCCGGGGCCCAAGGTTCTCCACCTTGTCCCACTTCCCTGGCAAACTCCTAATTGTCCTTCAACACACAAATGGAGGACCACCTCTGAGAACTCTACCCAGATATTCCTATTACCATCCCACCCACATGGTCCCAGCCTCAGTGTCTCCAAGTGCTATCATTAGATGGTCTAGACGGGAAAGCTCCTGCCAGGTTGGAGGGGCATGAATCAGAGAAAGATGGACGGAGAAGCAGCTGTAGGCTTGGCTCTGCTAAGGGGAGAGAAGGCACTTGACAGGGTGGGGAAGAGAAAGGGCACTTTGGATGAAGGAAACAGCTTGCCCAAAGGACTGGAGGTGGGCAACTTGAGTGTGGGATTAGCACTGACAGATGGAGGGCCAGGGGAGGGAGGGACACTTGGTCAGAGTCAGGTTGGGGCGGGTGGGGGTGTGCTTGAAGGCCTTCCAGGAGAGGGTGGTTTTCACACCAGCCCGCAGGGTATGAGAACCCACACCCACAGCTTCTGACTATATTCCACTCGGTCTGGTGCCTGGAGGCTCCACTTCAGCATGAGCATGGGTTAAGTGGCACAACACAGGATTGTAGACGTGTGGAGGGGACCCACAGGGAACCCTCCTGTCTAGCCCTTCCCAGAGCTTGTGATCTCTTGGCCGAGGCCTGTCTCAGAGCCCTGGCCCGCCTGCTTGCTCTCCTGTGAGATCTGACCCCCAGCTCCTTTGGCCACTGAAGCAGCTTAAGGAACTCAGGTCACCTGGGCTGTGCCATTGCCCGTGGGGAGGGCCCAAGCCCCCAGTGGCCACCCGACCAGGCCCTGATGTCAGCGACATTAACTGTCCGCCAGGGTTGTCTAATCTCTGGTTGGTGGCTGGGCCAGGTTAGTCCTGCCGGAGCCAGAGCTGCAGGCTGTGGGGGCCCTCAGGGACACCTTGAGGTTACAGATCAGGCAGGGGTGGTGATGGCTGGAGGTGCCCACAATAAATGACCCCACCTATGAGCCCGGGGTGTGGCTGTGTGCCACTTGTGGGCCAGCCCTCTCTGATCCTCTGCTCTGGGCTGTGAATCAGGCATTGCGCACTCATTGATCCTGCTCCTTAGGGTATAATTACACTGGTATAGTGGGTGGGGCCAAGGATGCTTCAGACTGGTGAGGACTCAGCGCTTCCCCCCGACTTGCTGGCTATGGACGGGGCAGCTCGAGGTCAGGCAGCACCCCTAGCCTGGTCCTGAATCCCAGATCCTGGGGTCAGAAACATATGTGGGAGAGGATTCCTAAAAGGTAGGGTCCACCCGCTACGTGGTATACAGACTCCTCTCTGCCCCTTGCCCAGAAAGGCTGGGGAAGTCATTACCTTTCTTCCAAGACCCTGGTGCCCCACCTCTCCTGACAGCTTCCTCCCTCTCTAGCCCACCACCTCCAGCTTCTCAAGGCCTCCTGCCCTCTGCTTTGTCTCTTGCCACTGAATCCTATTCTCATTCCCCTGCCCCACCTACTCTAGTTAACTGCTCAGGCAGAGGGTCCATAGAGACAAACAACCCCAGTTCAGCCAGGCCTAGAATACCCAGTACCACAGGTCCAAGCCCCATCCTTCTGAGCAGCACCAATGTGGCTGCCCAAACCCGTCCTGGGCTCCCTGACACTCTCTCACCCATTCTGTGTTCCTCCTGTGCTAAGCTCTGGGCTCCCTCACTCTCCTCTTGCCCAGGCTCCCAGCTCCACCTTCCACTTGGATGTTGAGGATGCCATCTATGCTCTGCCTTCTGTCCAGTCTCAAGTATCTGTCTGCCTCTTGGACATCTCCCCCCGTTGCCTACAGGTCCCACAAACTCAGCTTGTCCAACACTTGAGAATCTTCCCCTCCAAGTGGATTCCTCCTCTACAGTCCTGGCTTGGTGGGGTGTCCCATGCACTTGGTCAACTGCACAGACCAAGACCCTTGCACTGAGCCTCATGGCTTGCAGACCTTGTCTGCCATGGGGGTGATGAGGACATAAGCCTCTGTCTCATGGACCTAGCCTCACTCCTCTTCTCCCCCATGCCCACATCAGCCCACAGGAATATGTGGGTGCCACACCCTAATCTCAGTCCTGCAATTACGTCCCAGCTTCAAAGGTCTCCATTATGGGCTCCATCGTCTTCTGGAGAAGGCCTAGGCCTTTAGCCTGGCATTTGGCACCTGTCCATCTGTCCTGTCTAGTCCCTGTTCCTGCTCCACTAAACTCCTGTGGCCCACAACCCCATGCTCCCGAGCCTTATTTGTACACCCACTGTTTGTCTGAATGAGCCTCTGCCTCAAAACTCCTCCTTGATCCAAGACTGTCCCTGTGAACATTTCCCTGTGGCTCCTCTCCCTCCATGAACCACTCTCAAGAAGCACAAGTTGGTCCCACGCCCCTTAGGGTGGCCCCCACCAAGTCAGGCCAGCTGCTTCTTTCCTGGAAGGTACCATCTTCCCACTTCATGTCCAGCCGAGCACTGGGCACTTAACAAATGCCCATGACTCGTGATCGTTAACTGCCCTCCCCACTGGTCCCAGAAAGGACAGCTGGGCCTGATGCAAAGCTTTATTGCTGAATCTGTGCATCTAGCTGAAGGGAGTGCAAATCATGCCATGGCCTTGCCAGATAGAAACTCCTTGTCCCCGATTGCAGCACAGGCTCCAGTCCAAGGGCACCAGCAAGGACTTGGTGCTTGATGAAGGAGGAGGGAGCAGGGAAGTGGGAGCCATGGGCCTTCAGTCTCTGATGGTTCAGGCATGGCCCTCAGTTTTCCCTGCCGGGGAATGGGCCCTGAATGGAGAGGGTGGAAGAAGCCACTGGCAAGGACAAGAAGGTTACCGGGGTTTGCCTGTGACCCCACCTGAGGTAGGCCTTCTGGGCACAGCCTAGGCCTCTATACTGTCATGAATTCTCAGCCTGGGTCTGATCGATGAGAGCTGGACTCTGCCCCAGCCACCCCTCAGGACTGCTTAACCATTGGCCACAGTTGGTGTCAACAGTACCCTCCCCAACAGACCTTCCCTTTGGCCAGTGTGGGTGGGTGACGTGGGCATGGATCTGGTGTCCAAGGACAGAGGGGGCAGAGCTTGTGGGGGAAGGGGCTGGAGGTTACTATGAGCCTGGCATGTGGGTAGGGGTCCAGTTTGAGTTTCTCCCCAGCGCCAGGGGCTCCTACTCACTAATTCATCTACATGGGGGCTGCACATGCCAGAGCTGGCTTGGACTTTGGGCCCCTGAAGCTGCTGGGAGGGACAGCCACTGGCTGCTGGGTAGACAGGTGTTAGGCTTGTCAGATGGAGGTGGCAGGGCTGGAGTGGACTGATGGTAAGCAGTGGGCCTGCCTGGAGGAGAGATCCCTGCCTGCCTCCTGCCCTTCATGAAACCCTGGGAGGGAGGGCTGTTTGCTGAGCCCAGACACCCTCTGGGTGAATCATGGGGCCCCTGGGTGGGGAGAGCTGCAAGAGATTGGTCAGTTGGGCCCTGCTGAGTCACTGTGAGCTACAGCTGCCCCAAGTCCTGCCTGCTCCTAGCTGGGGTTGGTTGCTGTGGGTTCTGAAGGCCAGCGCAGCCAGGCCATGAAGGGCAGGGCTGGGGTTGGGGGGACTGGGCTCTGGGGGACCTGGGGGCTACAGGGAAGGGTATGGGCCTCAAGGTTGGTAGGAATCAGGGCTCTGGGTCTGTGGTTGGTGGGGGCACAGGCTGAGGTCCAGGAGTCCTGGCTGGGTGGTGGGGTCATGGGGGCTGAGGCTACAAGGCAGCTAGGGCTATAGGGACTCAGGGCCAGGAAAGCACATGAGTTCAGGCACCTGGGAAAAGAAAAGGGAACAGAGTCAGTATCCCCGAGCCCCAAGATAATTGGGTTTATGCTGAGGGGCATTGCGGTGGTAGGCTGGAAGTTGTGACACATGGAGGGAGGGGGAGTTGGGTCAAAATAAATGAAATAGGTGAAACTTGTGAGCCAGGGGAGGAATGTGGCACTGGGGTAGAACCTGAAGAGCTGGGGTGGGGTCTGGAAGTTAATGGTGGAGCATCAGGTAGGGTGGGGCTTGTAGCCCTGAGCAGGGCCTGGTGATCTGGGAAGGAGTTTGCAGTAGTGAGGTGAGGGGAGGACTGGGGGCGAGGCTTGGGGTATTGAGAAGAAGGGGCTGAACAGGGGAGCGCCTCTGGTCACGAAGAAAACCCTACCTCAGAAGAGACCGCAGTCTTTGAGGTTCTCTTTGATGATGATGTCGGTGACAGCGTCGAAGACGAACTTGACGTTCTGCGTGTCGGTGGCGCATGTCATGTGGGAGTAGATCTCCTTCACGTCTCGCCGCATGTTGAGCTCGAGGAACTGCACCTTGATGTAGTTGCCCGCGTCCTCATACGTGTTGGGCCCTGGCAGGGAAGAGGGGTCTCTCACTCCCTGCCTCAAACCCTTCCCCCGGCTTGAGGGGCGCGGGCAGCAACCGTGCAGCTGGGCTGGGGCGCCTCGCCCGGCCGGGCGCGAGTCTCACCGTCGTAGTCCGGGAAGCAGATACTAAGGTGAGCCTTTTTGATCTTCTCGGAGAATACGTCCTTCTTGTTGAGGAAGAGCACGATGGACGTGGTGGCGAAGTAGCGGTGGTTGCAGATGCTGTTGAACAGGTGCAGGCTCTCGTGCATGCGGTTCTGGGGGGGCAGGGACTGTTGGGCACCCGGGGACACGGCAGCCGCTCCCACGCGGGCCCCATCCCACAGGCCAAGCTCTGCTGCCCAGGCTCCTGGCACGCGGGGTGCCTCCTCACTCAGACAGCTCCAAGAGCACCGCCCCAACCGGACGCTTTCAGCGTGAGTCTGCCCCCGTCAGGTGGGGCTGCTGGCTGCCTCCTTTCCTTCGGCGCTGGGATGAACCTCCCCTTTCAGACGCTCCGCTCGCAGCACTTTCTCTCCCTTAAAGCGGGCAGTAGCTTTGCCTACCCCCTCGAACACTCAGGTCCCGCTTGGCACTCACCACTTCGTCGTCCTCCACCAGCACCATGTCGTAGGCGCTTAGCGCCGCTATGAAGATAATGCAGGTCACGCCCTCGAAGCAGTGGATCCACTTCTTGCGCTCCGAGCGTTGCCCGCCCACGTCGAACATCCTGCGGGGGCCGTGACGGTCTGAACCCGCGCATGGAGCCCCCTGCACGCGCCCAAGGGCACGCCCTTGCCTCCCCTTAGTCAGGTGTGGATGGGACGGACATCTGGAGGGGCAGGGCCTTTCTGCGGCAGGGTGGCCGAGAAGGGGCAGGGCCTCTCGTAGGGATGGGGCCTCTGGGACGCAGCGGGGCCTTGGGGCAGTGATCCCAGGGCAGGCCGCGGGAGCAAGGGCGCGGGGTCGTACCGGAAGTTGAGATCCTTGAAGGAGAACTGCGTCTCTATGATACCGGTGGTCTTGACTCGTGAGCGCAGCACGTCCTGCTCAGTGGGAACGTAGCCCGGGGTTACCAGGCGCTCCAGGTCGGAGAGGTAGCTGCGTAAGACCGAGGGTGTGAGTAGGGCGGTGCGGGCGTGACTGGGCCCCCCTGAGCCCCCACGCCCCGCCTGCGCGCTCACTAGCCAGCCGAGTCGTTGAGCTGGTACTCCGAGGCCCGCTCGAAGCAGGCCTGGATACCCGAGTCCTTCCATAGCCGCTGGATGATGTCCGACATCTCCTTGGGCATCGTGCCCTCCTCGATGGTGTCGGCCATGTGCATCAGCTTCCGAGCGTCGTCCTGGAGGTGGGGATAAGGGTGATGATCACCGTGGCTTGGGGCCCTGCCCTGCGCCATGGGTCCCCGGAAGCCACACCCAGCCCGCCTCCCTGCGCACCTGGCGCGCAGAGTCTCCATACTGGATGTTGAGTGTGGTCATGGCACGCACGATGGCCAGCATGGACTGCAGCGTGTTGCCGTAGATGATGGCAACGAACTCTAGGCACTCTTCCAACGAGTACCCGTCCTGGTGAATAATCCTGCAGAAGGGGAGAGCAGGGTCAATGCCTCGTGGGGTGGTGGGGGAGGGACAGGACCAGTTTGCATGCCAACCCCCAGGGGCTTTGGGATGAGCAGGGGCACTCACTTCATTTGCTTGACAATGGTACTCTTCCCGGACTCACCAGCACCTGGAAGGGAAGCCGGGCCTCAAAGTCACCCTGATCACCCCTCCTCCCTTCTCACCCCAGCAATGAGGCCTGGGAAATGCAACAAGCCCGGGTCTGGTGGGTAGACTGGTGGGCAGACCTTTAGCAGAAGAGGCCCGGATGCCGGCCCTACCCCCAGTCACACCTGCCCCAACCCCATCCAAAGTAAGGTCTGACAGCCCTGGAGGAAAGGATTTGTAAATGTCAGAAAAGTGACAGAAGGGGACGAACAAGGGGAATTGGCAACCTCAACCGTGTCTCTGAGCCCCACCCCCACCCTAAGACCCTGGAATACCAGTACCAGTTGCTGACAAGGCGACCCCATGTGTGTCAGGGTAGAAGCGTGCTCCCCTGGGTTTTCAATGGCTGAATATGTGGAAGCACATCGCCGGGTCTTTTTTCCAGATGCCTCTGGGTGGATGTGTACCTCCAACCTTTCAGTTAGCAGCCAAGCACGTTACCCATATGCACCACCCAGGGACTCCTGGTATTATTGTTAGGTGCCATTGGGTCAATTTTGACCCATAGCTACCCCATGTGACAGAGTAGAATGTCCCCATAGAGTTTTCTAGGCTGTATATCTTTACAGGAGGAGCCCTGGTGGCGCAGTGGTTAAGCTCTCAGTTGCTAACTGAAAGGTGATGGTTAGAACCCACCAGCTGCTCTGAGGGAGAAAGACGTGGCAGTCAGCTTCCATAAAGATTTACAGCCTTGGAAACCCTATGGGGCAGTTCTACTCTGTCCTATAGGGCCGCTATGAATCTGAACTAACTTGACAGCAACGGGTTTGGTTTGGTTTTAATCTTTACAGGAGCCAGGTCTTTCTACCGCGAAGCCACTGGGTGGGTTGGCAGCCGAGCGCTTAACGGTTTGCGCTACCCGGGGCTCCGCAGCCTTTGTGAGGCCAAAATAAATCCTGGAGTGCCACCTTGTGGAATGCTCTGGTATTGCAGCTAGAGATTATTTGAGCTGGATCAACCCTTGGTTTTCATCCGGAGGGGGGCTGGGAGATATCCAAAAGGCTCAGAAGGAATTAGCGCCTTTGGGTGAGGAGGAGGATAGAGTTGACTGAACCCCTTTCCCCTGTGAGCACTGGGCACAATTAATGGGATTCCCAGCTTAGCCTCTCTGGCTTCCCTGGGGTAACCTGCCTTCCCTCTGCCCATGGCCACCTGGCCAAATAGACCCTGGAGAGCTTGGGTAGAGCCTGCCTGGCCCTCTTAAAACAGCTTCTTATTTCCCTTAGGGTGTCAGACAGTGGCCAGGAGGCAGGCCTGGATGAGCATCACCTTCTCTCACTACCCATGGGAACATGGGAATGGCTTAGCTATTCTCCACTGGGCCTCAGTGTCCCTCCCCTCCTTTAGCTGCTTTGAAGGTCAGCCACCAATAAAGCAGTGGCACCTGAGGGCCATTGCCTGTGGGTCTGGGTGGTCCTAGAGACCCCTCGCTCCCAGGAGGACTGTGACTTTCTCCTTCCTAAGGGAGCAGCCATGTTGTGGGGCTCCTATGGGGTCACCAATTTCTGAGTCCCTGCCTAGCAGGCCCATCAAGCCAAAGGCTGGAGCCTGAGGGAGCCCAGGCAGGGCAAAAGTGAGCCTTGTACAAATACACACACTTCTGCATTGGGGAGGTTGCCTCAGGCCTGGCACTCTGTAGAGAGGCATGGCGGGTCAGGTCTGGCCTTGTCCGGCCAGGACTCCCACCCTGTGCCCTGCCCTGTCACTGGCTCATTCTGCTTCCCAAGGAATCCCAGCTTCAGAGAAGGGCCAGCTGCCTTCCCTCAGGCCACTGACCTGGTGGCCATGACCCTATCTGGGCCCACGCCCCTACCCAGAAGCAGCAGCTTCACGGTTCGAGCATCCTTCTCAGCATCCTCTTTTAGCTTCTTTTCCAGCTCCCTTGAGTGCTTCTCTTCAGCACTGGCTCCAGCCCCCATGGTCCCAGAAGCAGGTGAAGGGTCAGGATGGGCAGGTGACTCTTCCGTATGGAGGGGATCCCCAGAGCTAGGCTCTGGCCAGCCTCTGACCTCCCCAGATGCCCTTCTGGCCCAGGGCTGGCAACCAGCTGGCTCTCCACAGACCTGTGCAGGCCCTGGTGGGGGCTGCTTAGTGGGATTTGGGGGCTGGGGTGCCCAAGAGCCAATGAGAGACAAGGACAGGTGAATCCCGCTCAGCCCCCCAACCCTTCTAATCGGGCTGGCGTGGCCCCAATCCCTTAACTGCTGACTCTGCACCCTCTGTGCCCCACCTCAACCCTCCAGGAGAGGCCCTGGAGAGAGTTCTGCCCCCACCCCAGAGTTGGGAGACATATGTAGGCCTGAGAAAGGGGAGGAGAGGCCCTCGAGCCTAGGAGTGGGAGCTAGCAGTAGGAGGGTTTTCTAGAGAAGCAAAACCAGTAAAGTGAGTATATATATATGTATACATGTGTGTACCTGTATACACATGTATACGTATATATATATATATATA